TGGCCTCCAAACAGGAGGTGGGGTGCTCCCTGAGCAGGATGCGGTGCTCCCTGAACAGGATCTGTGGGTTTTATGGGAGATCAGATACGTTCTAGAATTACGTGTTTTCCTCCTCCTCTGCAAAGCTGGCCTCCTGAGTCCTCCCACTGGCCTTCCTGAAAACCAGACACATTTTGTCCTTGCCCTAGGGCCCTGCAGGCTTGCCCATGTGGCACTGTGCTGTTGTGGCACTGGGAGCCAGCACACTGAGCCATAAGCACCAGGCTCGTTTGCCACATGGCTTTGTGAAGTACCCAACCGGAACACAGCCACCTACGGTCTTGCGTGTGGTGCCTACGTTGATTTTTGTGCTGAGTCAGAGCCCATCTGATCTTCAGAGGCCTTCACTGAAGTGACTTGTGAACTCTCCAGGTTACACACAGAAGTTGGGGCCGGGGAGTGTGCAGGACAGGATGCCACTGTCAGCCCCACATAGCAGGACTGTGCCTGGCTCCATTCTGGAGTGGTGCCTCCTGGTCTTGATGTACAGGGTGACAGTATATGCCAGCCCTGTCTGAAGCTATGTGGTCCGTTGGCATCTGTGGCCCTCACAGAGAGCTGGCCCCGACCAACCCAGGACCGCCAGCCTTGGGGTGGAGAAGCCCTGGGAGGATTGGACTAACTCGCTGCTCCCCACCCCTAACTGCTCCCGGCTTGAGCCTCAAAGGATGTTGGTCTGGGCCTCCCTCCGACAGGGAGGCATTGGGGTCCAGCCTCCATCACTCCAGGTGAAAATTAACAGATCAGGTCAGAGGCATACCCTGGGCTCTGAAGAGACAGACGACTTCCAGTTGTGTGGACCCTGGATGCCGCTTCAGTCGGAAACTTTGTAGGAGGTTGTTTATGAAGGAGAGTCATGGGGACAGACGAGTGACCCTGGAGGAAGGAAGCAGTGGCTCTGGGGTCCTTAGTGGTGTATGTCCTCACTGCCTCCTCTGTGGCCACACTGTGTGCTCTCTCCTGTGTTACCCTGCAGTGCCCCCTTTTGTACCATCCTGCATGTCCTCCTTCCTGCTGCCACCCTGCATGTTCCCCAAGCCCAGAGCAGCCATGGCCTGAGATGCTTTCCCATCCCCACTGCTGGCTCTCTTGGGTGGCTCCCCTTTGATGTGTGTCATGGTCCCTGATACCTAGGGTCACCCTCCTCACCCCCCCACCATTTATAGGAGAGTAGAAGGGTGCAGGAGTGACATGGCATCGCTGCCTGGTGGCAGGGTAATTTGAGAGCTGGTTCCCTGTGCTGTTAGAACCCTCCTCTCGCAGTTCCTTTTTTCTTGGGAACCTTTTGATCTGTTGAAAATAGAGAAAGGCCAGTTAAAGTATGGATGGGGCCAGGCAGCGGGGCTGGGGGTTGGTGGCGCACGCCTTTCATCACAGCACTCAGGAGGCAGAGGCACAGGGATCTCTATGTGTTCAAGGCCAGCCTGGTCTACAGAGAGAGTTTCAGGACAGTGAGAGCTGCTACATAGAGAAGAAACCCTGTCTTTAGGAAGGAAGGAAGGAAGGAGGGAGGGAGGGAGGGAGGGAGGGAGGGAGGGAGGGAGGGAGGGAGGGAGGGAGGGAGGGAAGGACAGAAGAAAGGACAGATGGGCTTAAGCCAAAATGTCCATTCCTTTCCTCCCGTGTGGGCGCCTGCACCTCACACTGGGTGTTTCCTTCTGCACTAACACATGTGCGGTGCCTTTCATTGGCTTTTGTTAGAGACAGACTCTCACGTAGCCCAGGCTGGCCTTGAACTCACTGTGTAGCTGAGGATGACTTGACCATACACCTCTGTCTTCTGTCTCTCTGATCCTGTTAGTGTGAGCGGTGCAGTCACACAGTAGGCGCCCAGGAACCAAATGTCTGCCTGGGGCAGGTGGTTCCCTCAGATCCCTCCTCACTTGCTTGCCTCTTCCCTTCCCATCGCCCTAGGGCAGCTTGGGGACGAGCTAGGAGCTGGTATGAGCCTCCATTCTCTGACAGCCCATTTTGAGAACTGCATGGCACCGGGGTGGGGCTACACTGAAGGACACAGCTGAATTTGGAAACTGACTTTTCCGTTTCCTTAGCTGTGTGGTTTCTACTCATCATGTCACTTGTGGGGCCACAGCCTCTTCTAGCAAATGAGGACAAGCCCCACCTCATGACACCTGCCACAGGCAGCGGTTGCTTTGGACAGATGCCCTAGCACAGCTTCACCCACAGCCCTTTCCCTTGTTCAGGGAGGCTACTCCGTGTTTGTCCTGCTGTTTCAAGTTGAGTGTAATGATAATCAGAGCACCGTCAGCTCCATTTCTCAGAGGAGCTCAGAGAGGTTAGGCACTGAGAGGGCAGAATTGCACAGCTGGGTCTGAGTGCAGGTGGCCCGTACCATTCCTGTGCCTGGCACACAAATAGACTGACAGTCCCTGGATGCCCTCACCGCAGGGAGACAGTGTGACCAGAATCGTGTTTTAGGGGAAAATGTTCCCTGACAGCCAGGACTCTGCAGGGAGCATCCAAGTGTTTTGCAGTCTTTTAATACTGCCGTTTTGGGTTCCAGTTAGTTTGCCTTATTAGTGACTCTGCCCTGGGGCACAGTTATACTTGCCCTCATCCTCGCAGACCTAGCTGGTTCACAGACTGCAGAGCTGGCTGTGCAAGCACAGGGCTGATGGGAATATGGGCGAGGCAGGATCGGGTAGCCCCTGGCTTAGTGTTGACTGCTGACCCTCCTATAAGAACAGAGAACTGTGGACCCCACCTTTGCCTCTCACTGTCCTCTGAGTCAGCACTGAGTAGAAGGTTCTAGAATAGAGGCTGGCAGTCTGTGACTGTTCTTGTGGCTGCTGTTCTGGGATTTGTGGTGTACTGACAGTTTCTGAGGCCGCTGTTCCTGCAGAGTGCTCTCCCTTCTCCCTCCCCTCCCCCTCCCCTTGACGAAGCACACACATGCTCCTCCCCATCGCCTGTGCTCAGACCACTGACATGAAAGGTCTTAGTATTTGTGCACATCCTCCATGCACTCTATTATTTTCTCTTATTACTGTGTTGTGATGGGGGAGGGCAGATGCCCTGGTGTAAGCATGGAGGTCAGAGAACAACCCTGTGGGGTCAGTTCTCTCCACGTTTCCGTGGGTTCTGGGTACCAAACTCAAGTCGTCATGCTTACACAGCAAGTACCTTTACTTGCTGAGCCCTCTGGCCGGCTCACCTCTGTGTACTGCAGATCACCCCCGGTGCAGTGTAAATGCAGTTGTTTCACACTACTGGCTAGGGAAAACAGACATGAAGCCCACATGCACAGCACAGAGGCAATTTTCCCTCCAAGCTCAGAAGAGCCTTTGCCTGCAGACCTGTCGCTGTCTGGAGGAGAACAAAGCATCCTCTACTCCCAGGACCACTGAGGCTGGCTGTCATTTGTCACCTTGATCTAGGTCAGGCCTGTCCAGTATGATATCCCCACTGGCTCCAGTGGCTTTTGAGCCTTTGCCACATGACCAGTGCAAATCAAAATGGATTTTGTGTTTTATTTGGTTTGGTTGAATTTGAAATCACACATCTCCTCGACCCCTGTGCAGTGCATTGGGCACCATGCTCTGAGATAGAAGACGGGCCATCAGCTGGTCCATGGTTCTTGGCAAGCCTGGGCACACCTTGCATTTCAGGGGTCTCCAAGGGCAGCCAGGTTGCCTCCAGCTGCTTCTGGAAGCTTCCAGTAACCTCCACGGATTGCTTGGTTTCTCCCCAGGCGATGTCAGCCACCATGCCCAGGAGTCCCGGGCAGGAGCATCTGGAGGTATAGGATAAGGTGGAATCCCTTCTTCAGTGAGGCCTCAATGTATTATCAGGGTTGGATTTTTCAGAGAACAGAAAGGACAGACAAAATAAATGAAAAGGGGTGAGGAGTGGGTGAGCTCTCTGGAGATGGAGGACTGAGATACAGGCAGTCATTCTTTCCCATTGTGACACACACAAACGGACAGTCACTGCTGGTGTTCCAGGTCCTTCTGTCTGGCCGGAGCTTCCCAGCATCGTGTTTACAGACTAGGGAAACTGGCTCTCTGGTCTCTAAGATCTGACACTCTTCTGTCTCTAGAGCCACATTCTGTACCATTCATATCCTGGCATCTGAGACAGGACCAAGGAGGGATGTGGAATGTCAGCTGTGTCCTGAACTCTACCCTCCCCAGCAACAGGAGCACCTTCTCTTAGATGGGGACATGGGAATTGAACGGTGGTAAAGCCACAGGAGTGCAGCGTATCTGCTGATGCAGCCTCCACCTGAAACTCACATTTGGGAGCTGAGTTATGAAGTCTCACAGACCAAGACAGGAAACATATTCAGTTCATTCTCGGGTTAGCCAGTTAGAGAAATTCTACCCTCCTCTGTGGGACTTCAGGATACAATGTGCACTCACTCAGACACCGAGAAAGTGTAGGGTGGTAGAGGCTGGGCGTTATCTGACTGTATGGTACCCTTTGGAGCCGCACAGTGCACAGCCTGGTGAATCGCTCCCAGGATCCCCTGGGTGGTTACAGGCAGGCTGTTGGGTTGTTTGCCTTTCCTGATGTTCAGGGCTGAGAGAATGGAAGAGACTGAGAGGGACTCTGGCTTCCTGAGTCAGCAGTGAACTTGTGAACCGAGCCAGTGAACTCCCTAGAGCAGTAGCTCCCAACCCCCTATCGCTGTGACCATTTAATACAGTTCCTCACGTTGTGGTGACCCCCAGCCATAAACTCATTTTTGTTGCTCTTTATAACTAGAATTTTGCTACTGTTATGAATCATGATGTCAGTTTTTTTTGGAGATAGAGGTTTTGCCAAAGGTGTCGAGACCCACAGGTTGAGAACTTCTACCTAGAGGACCAGGTTACTCCTCACCTCGGCAAAGGTCTGCACAGTTTTCTCTCCTAAAGGCCATTGTCCGGTGCCTCTGGTAGCCCATAAGCCCCTCTGCTCCAACCCACTCCTGACTCAGCATCTCTGTTGTTCTACAGGACTGTGGGGACAGGAAGCTGTGCTGAGCAGGCCAGAGGACTGGTGCTTGGAAATGAGGGAGCCCTGGGGAGGTGAGTCCACCCGGAGACCCCCCACTGTCCTGACGAGTCCACCCGGAGACCCCCCACTGTCCTGACGAGTCCACTTAGGGACCCCCCCACTGTCCTGACGAGTCCACCCAGAGACCCCCCCCACCACTGTCCTGACGAGCCCTTAGCGTAAATGCCTCGGTGTCTTCACCAGCATCAGGCCAGGAAGTTCTCTGCCCAGCTGGTTGGTTAAAATACAGGAGCAGCTGAACCTGGTAATCACCAGGCATGCCAGTGCTCAGGACACTGCAGGTGCACTGCGCAGTGTAGACCAGTGCTCAGGACACTGCAGGTGCACTGCGCAGTGTAGACCAGTGCTCAGGACACTGCAGGTGCACTGCGCAGTGTAGACCAGTGCTCAGGACACTGCAGGTGCACTGCGCAGTGTAGACCAGTGCTCAGGACACTGCAGGTGCACTGCGCAGTGTAGACCAGTGCTCAGGACACTGCAGGTGCACTGCGCAGTGTAGACCAGTGCTCAGGACACTGCAGGTGCACTGTGCAGTGTAGACCAGTGCTCAGGACACTGCAGGTGCACTGTGCAGTGTAGACCAGTGCTCAGGACACTGCAGGTGCACTGCGCAGTGTAGACCAGTGCTCAGGACACTGCAGGTGCACTGCGCAGTGTAGACCAGTGCTCAGGACACTGCAGGTGCACTGTGCAGTGTAGACCAGTGCTCAGGACACTGCAGGTGCACTGTGCAGTGTAGACCAGTGCTCAGGACACTGCAGGTGCACTGTGCAGTGTAGACCAGTGCTCAGGACACTGCAGGTGCACTGTGCAGTGTAGACCAGTGCTCAGGACACTGCAGGTGCACTGTGCAGTATAGACCAGTGCTCAGGACACTGCAGGTGCACTGTGCATTGTAGACCAGTGCTCAGGACACTGCAGGTGCACTGTGCAGTGTAGACCAGTGCTCAGGACACTGCAGGTGCACTGTGCATTGTAGACCAGTGCTCAGGACACTGCAGGTGCACTGCACAGTGTAGACCAGTGCTCAGGACACTGCAGGTGCACTGTGCAGTGTAGACCAGTGCTCAGGACACTGCAGGTGCACTGCGCAGTGTAGACCAGTGCTCAGGACACTGCAGGTGCACTGCACAGTGTAGACCAGTGCTCAGGACATTGCAGGTGCACTGCACAGTGTAGACCAGTGCTCAGGACATTGCAGGTGCACTGCACAGTGTAGACCAGTGTGCAGGACACTGCAGGTGCACTGCGCAGTGTAGACCAGTGCTCAGGACACTGCAGGTGCACTGTGCAGTGTAGACCAGTGCTCAGGACACTGCAGGTGCACTGTGCAGTGTAGACCAGTGCTCAGGACACTGCAGGTGCACTGTGCGGTGTAAGCCAGCCTGGTCAGTGCTTGCTGAGTGCCTCCTGCAGGCCTGTCTGATGTTCATGTTGGGAATGATTGCCAGTGCTCCTCTTGGCTGGAGGGGAAAGCCTCTTGTCTATGTTGCAAGCCAGCAAGTTGCAGAGGTGGGATTTGAACCCAGTTCTGCAGAACTCCTGCCTGCTGTTTTCACTGCTCAGAGCTGCCCACTGGGTCATGCCACTTGCCTAAGAAACCATTGTTTTCTTCTGGACAAGCATGATCTTGACCTCGGTCAGGCCTGTAGTCCTGACTGTGCAGCTCTGAGCATCCTAGAATATAAAAACAAAATGCAACTGGGTCTTGGTGGTGCATTATCTTTAATCCCAGCACTTGGGAGGCAGAGGCAGGCAGATCTCTGTGAGTTTGAGGCCAGCCTGGTCTACAGAGTGAGTGCCAGGACAGGCTCCAAAACAATACAGAGAAACCCTGTCTTGGAAAACAAAAAACAAAACAAACAAACAAACAAACGCAGACAGGATGTTTTCTAGACCTTGGATTCTGAAACACGTGAATGGCTTGTTGGGGGCAAACTAGTTTCACGATAAACTTTTGCTGTCCTGTGTTACCTTTTCCTCCAAGGTTGTGTTGTCAGTCACCAACCACAGGCACACACATGCATGTGCACACATATGCACACTGTGCTGCCCTTTCTGCAAGCAACCTACAACATCCCCCCCCCACCTTTTCACCCCTAAAGAGCAGTGGTTCTAATTCCAGCTAAGGTGTGGTTGGTGGCTTCCTTGGCACAACAGTAAATTGTCAGTGGCAGAGTTTGGATCTCAGGTTCACCAGGTGAGCTTTGTGAAACACTTGAGGCTTCCTCAGATATCTGAGTGACTTTATGTCTTGGCCAGCCTGCTCTGTCCCCTAAAAGTGCCTTGGAATTAGTCTTGCCCATCATGGATCTAGAAGTGAATCAAGGAGCAGCCCCGGCATTGGCAGAAATGAGTAAGTGAACTGTTTTTCCAGTGAGCGGCCCCTGCTGTGATCTGATGTCCAGGTTGCTAGCCTGGACAAGGTTTATCTGCCTTGTCAGGCACTTCTCAACCCCGCAGTGGACCATCCCTAGTGTGGCTGTGGCAGAGATGATGGCCACCAGGAACCCTAACCTCAGCACATTGGCCTTCAAGCTTAAGACTGCTTCCTCAACTGATGTCCATTTGCCACTTGCTGTGACCCTGTGGGTGGGATGGCCCATCTCTGAACCTGGTTCTTTGATGATTTTTGTCAAGTCTCATGTCTAAAATCCAATGTCACATTTCTGCTCACCTCCCCAGACCCTCCTGCGTGTGTGAGCCACTTGCAGCCCCTGGTCACTCAGGGTTCTCTCTCCCTGTGCCTTGTTAGTGGCTGCTCCTGTTTCCAGGATCACCCTTCCGTGCCTGCCACCTGCCAGTTCTCCCCGCTGTTCAAACCTCAGCTTGAGACCCAGCTGCCCCAGGACTTTGCTGTCCTTCTGGCGGGGGGTGGGGGGGTGGGGGGGTGGGGAGGGGACATGATGATGACACAACACGGGACCTGTCACCTCCCAGTGTGAGCCCACAGCGCTAGCTGAGTTGAAAGTGATAGAAAGTGATAGAACTGGGTAAATCTGGACCCACCCAGCTAATTCCAGAAAGAGGCTCAAGGGGCAGGCGAGGTAGAGAACAGAAGTGGCCTGAGATGGGCACAGTGTCTGCCCACTGTCTGCTGGCTTCCAGCTGTGGACCCAAGTGTTGGCAGTGATCTGGGTAGGGGCTTTTCATGGGAAGCCCCCATCTGAAAAAGGCACTGCTGAATTCCTACCCTCTGGTCAGCAAGGCCTGGAGAGGGGAGATTGTTACCATTAGTGCTCCAAGCAGTCCTGTGTCCCCCGTTTCCTCACCCCCACCCCCACCCCCTCCTGACCTTTAGCCTCCAGCATTAGAGTCTAGTAGGTGCCCTGGAGCCACCCTCGGACTTGATGTGGCGTTTATGCTGTCCTCATTCTGTTCCCACCCCTCCAACCCCAGCAGCCCTCTCTAGCTCCTGGCTGGGATGCCACTTCTTCCCCCCTGGGTCCCTTTAGCAGCATCTAGTTCATTGCCACACCAGGCATAACCCCTGTGAGCTCCCCACTTCTTCACCAGGACCTGTGCCACGGAGGCTGCTGTCCTGGCTGGCTGTCTCCAGTCTTCTCAGCCCTGCGCTTAGTGCATAGACCAAGTGCCAACTTGGTGAGCATGTCTGAAATGCAAATAAAGGGAAGGGCATTGTTGAAGTAGACTGTCCCCTGCCATGCCATCCAGGGCAGGTCAGTCAAGACCGTGTTATTTAACTGTGGGTGTCTCTCCTAGCCTCTGTTTCCTTTTCTGTGCCAGCCCCTGGTCATTCAGGCACTCATTCCAAGGTCATTGAATGAGCCAGGCCTGTGCAAGGAGCTGAGAATACAGGCCCCTATGCACGCTGTAGGAGTCAACCAGATCTGTGGGTTAATGGTTTTTGTTTGTTGTTGTTGTTGTTGATTTTTTTTCCAAGACAGGATCTCTTGTATATAAGGCTGTCCTCAAATTCCTGATCTTTTTACCTTTACCTCCCAGATGTCACAAGCATTAGCCACCACACCTGGTTTTTGTGGTTCTGGGGGTCAAACTCGGGGCTCTCTGCTCGCCGAGCAGGCTCTCTACACACTGAGCTACTTTCTTACCGGATCAAGGTTACCTGATACGACCGGTGAGAACTTAAACCAGGATGTGTTGGAGGAGCCACAGCAAGACTGAGGTTATAACAGTTTTATTGAGAGCAACCAGACTTTTATACCAGTATCAGAAGCAGAATATAGTGGCAATTGCCAAGATCAATACAGTTGTGGTTGCCAGGATACGGTGATGTAAGCGGCACAGGGTACACAAGATTAATGTCTAAGACCAATTGTCCTGTCAAGCTTCCATGCTTCCTTGACTACTAAGGGAACAAGCAGAAAGAATCACAGGGCGGCCTGAACACTCACTGTCTGAGGCAGTGCCTCGGTTTCTCAGGAACCGAAAGGCAAGCTATGCCCCAGGAGCCATGGGCGTGAAAAACCTATGTATGACGCATGCCTCTCGAGACAGCCAGGCCAGGCCAGCTCCAGGGCTCCCTGCGCGAAGCCCTGCTTTTTATTTTTGATACAGGCATATAGAACTTGGAATATTCCTGCCTCAGCCTCCCACATAAGTGGCATACAGGCGTGTGCTGGTGTTTCCAGCATTTTAATAATAACCACCATCGCCGCCCTTTGTTATCAGCCGGCCAGCTGATTGACTGACCAAGCCACCACAGCCATGGTGGTGGAGGATTGAGTCTTGCTGTCTACCTGAGGCTTTTGAGGCCATAGTAGTCCCAGGGGTGGGGCAGGGGGTGGGGGGAGGGGCACCAGGTAGATGCTTTTACCTATATGTCACTGAGCTTGTTCACCCCAGCGTCTAGTTTGTGTCCTGATGGGGCTGCTGACACTGTCCCTCTCTCCACAGATGCATGCCAGGTGGACCTGCTGACCCGTCGATGAGGCGGGCCCCCTGCCTGGGCCTGTGCCCCTGGCTGGGCATGCGCCTGTCAGTACGCAAGGTGTTGCTGGCCGCTGGCTGCGCACTGGCCCTGGTGCTGGCTCTGCAGCTCGGGCAGCAAGTGTTGGAGTGCCGGGCGGTGCTCGGAGGCAAGCGGAACGCACGGAGGATGCGGCCAGAGCAGGAGGAACTGGTGATGCTTGGTGCCAACCAGGTGGAGTATCGCTACGGCAAGGCCATGCCGCTCATCTTCGTGGGCGGCGTGCCTCGCAGCGGCACCACCCTCATGCGGGCCATGCTGGATGCGCACCCTGAAGTGCGCTGTGGGGAGGAGACACGCATCATCCCGCGTGTGCTGGCTATGCGGCAGGCCTGGTCAAAGTCTGGCCGGGAGAAGCTGCGGCTGGACGAGGCAGGCGTGACGGATGAGGTGCTGGACGCTGCCATGCAGGCCTTCATCCTGGAGGTGATCGCCAAGCATGGCGAGCCAGCGCGAGTGCTGTGTAACAAGGACCCCTTCACACTCAAGTCCTCCGTCTACCTGGCACGCCTGTTCCCCAACTCCAAATTCCTGCTAATGGTGCGCGACGGCCGGGCCTCCGTGCACTCCATGATCACTCGCAAGGTCACCATCGCAGGCTTTGACCTCAGTAGCTACCGAGACTGTCTTACTAAATGGAACAAGGCCATCGAGGTGATGTATGCACAGTGCATGGAAGTGGGCAGGGACAAATGCCTGCCTGTGTACTATGAACAGTTGGTGCTGCACCCCCGACGCTCACTCAAGCGCATCCTGGACTTCCTGGGCATCGCCTGGAGTGACACAGTCCTGCACCATGAGGACCTCATTGGCAAGCCTGGGGGCGTCTCCTTGTCCAAGTGAGTGGGGCCCCACAGCTCCTCCCAGGCTCCAAGCGGCAGATCAAGTCTGCCCTTCTTGAGCTGTGCTACTTTAGGCAAGTGTCTGTGCCTCTCTGAGTTTCAGCATCCTTCCGTGTAGTGGGGAAAGGTTTGGGAATTGGGTGACTGAAGGCAGAGTCTTGCACCAGATGGGTCTCTCGTCTCCTGTAGCCTTGTGCTGTGGAAAAGCACAGACGATCTGAGGAAAGCCTTTGCTCTCAAACTCGACGCCAAAGGCCCGGGCACCTATAAGAAGCTGGGGTCCACAGGGGCTTTCAGCCTTAGCCTTAGAAGTTGAAGCTTTCTTTCTTCAAGGACAAATTGCTCATGTTAGTTGTAGTATAGCAAGTTATTTTTAAGAAACACAGACTGGGCTGGCAAGATGGCTCAGTAAGTAGAGGGGCTTGCCGTGTAAGCCCATAAACTGCGTTTGATCCCCAGAACCTACTTAAAGAGAGAAGCAACTCCACAGGGCTGTCCTCTGACTTCCACGCATGCATCATGGCATCATGGCAGTGCCCCTCCCCACATACACACATCATAAAAATAAATAAGTAAATAAACTGGAAAACAACGAAAGAGGGCCAGGGGCTGTAAAATGCTCGCTGTGCAAGCGTAATGGCTGAATTCAGCTTCCCCGGCACTCACAAAAAAGCCACATGCGGTTGCAAGGGACTCATGTGAGTCCAAAGAGGTAGAGGCTCACTGGCCACCCACCCTAGCCAGCACAGCGAGGTTGGGAGGAGACTGCCCAAAAGCAAGGTGAAGAAGTGATTAGGGAGATCAACATTTGGCTTCCACATATACTGCACACATGAATAGACATGCACATGTATGTGTGCATGTGCAAACACGCATACACATACATACACTTGAAGGAGGCCGCATCTGCTTCACCAGCACACAGTTCTGCTTCCTGGTGTGTGCAGCTCCCATGATGCCCAGGGCCCTGGCTCACAACTGTTGGGGCAGGCTGTCCAACCTTCCTGCTGCTCCATAACCACAGAACAGGGAGTGTTCCCCAACCTGATGAGACTGTCCTCTCTCCCCAGGATCGAGCGGTCCACAGACCAGGTCATCAAACCCGTGAACTTGGAAGCACTCTCCAGGTGGACCGGCCACATCCCTGGGGACGTGGTGAGGGACATGGCACAGATCGCCCCCATGCTGGCTCGGCTTGGCTATGACCCGTACGCAAACCCGCCCAACTATGGGAACCCTGATCCGATTGTCATCAACAACACACACCGGGTGAGTGCGTGTCGCACACAGGAGTGTGAGCACAGGCCTTAGCGGGATATGTAGTCCAGTCTCGGGGCTCCTGAGCATCGATGTTCTGCATGACGCACTTAGCAGCACCAGTGCAAGTGTTTCCGCTTTGGCTTGGGCCTAAAGAAAGCTCAGGGTCAACAGATGTCCTCCTTTCCCTGTCGCCTCCCATGGTGAATCTGTTTATCTCAGGGCTTACTTGTCTTTCCTGTCTCCCTGGCTCTTTTTCCTGTGTGCAGAGCCCTTCAAGTCTTGAGAGAAAACATACTTAAAGAATGGACCACCGGGTGGTGGTGGCATACGCCTTTAATCCCAGCATTCAGGAGACAGAGGCAGGAGGATCTCTGTGAGTTCGAGGCCAGACTGGTCTACAGAACGAGTTCCGGAACAGGCTCCAAAACCACATAGAGAAACCCTGTCTCAAAAAGCAAAAAAACAAAAAAAAAAAACAAAAAACAAAGAGAGAGAGAGAGAGAGAGAGAGAGAGAGAGAGAGAGAGAGAGAGAGAGAGAGAGAGAGAGAGAGAGAGAGAGAGAGAGAGAGAGAGAGAGAAGAAGAGAAAGAAAAACAGAATGGACCATGTTGTCACCCCATAAGTTATCGTGTTGATTTCTCACACACCAGAACCAGGAGCTGTTGAAATTTCTGTGCTGAAGATACTTAAGGGAAGTGACTTTGACAAGGCATTTTATAAGAAGAGCTCATAGCTCATGGTCAAGTCTACTTAGTGTTATCCAGCTTCTTTGAGTGCTTGGGGTCCATATCTGAACACCCACACAAGTGCCCTCGAGGTTACAGTTCCGGTGTGCCGTGGGACGTAATGAAGCTGACACATTGTCCTTGATCAGTTAGCTGTTGGGTCATCCAAGAGCAATGCACCACCCACTGGTGCAGTTATGTGTTTGGGGTGTGCAGAGCCTGTGCAGGGGTGCAGAGACACTCTAATACCCATGTGGCAGTGGATGCCCGAACGTGTTTCTCACAGCATCACCGCACACCTCTGAGGGCAGCCATCTGCTTGCTGTTGGAGAGAGTCTCCCGGCGCAGTGCAGGCCAGCCTCCAAACTGTGCTTCTGCCTTGCTTGTCTCCTGAGCTGTTGGAAATACGTAGATGTGCTTCTCCACAACCACCACATCAGCGTTTTTGTTTTGTTTCGTTTCTTCGTTTGTGTGTTTGTCTAAGACGTGCTCTTGCTGTGTGCCCAATTCCTGGGCTCAAGCTATCCTCCTGCCTTAGCCTCTTGAGTAACTACAACTCCAGGCATGCATTACAATTCCCAGGTAGCCCAAAGAAGTCTTTGCTGCCTCTTCAGTTCTTATTCATTTCTCGTCTTCTTTGTGTGCAGTGCTGGGGATGGTCCCAGGACCATGCCAGGCAAGTGATCTACCACTGAGCCACATTCCAGCCCTAATGTCTCAGCACTTACATAGACACAGCACCCCTGCACAGTGGCAGCCTGGGTGTTCTCAGTGAGGCTGTGATTGTGTCCATTTTTATTGTAAGTATTATTAATTAATTCTTACAAAAATTATTCTTCAAACTCCATTCCCATAGTTTATATTCCTTTCCCTACAGAGGCTTCACTTGACCTTGACAGACCACGTGTTGTCGAGCATAAATGTGGGTAGTGAGCTTGTGTCAATTAAAAATAAAAATAGGCTGGGTGTGGCACAGTGATAGAACCCTTACCCAGCATGCGTGAGGCTCTGGGTTCCATCCTAAGTAATAATACTATTCTAGATTTGAAAGCAGAGCCCTCAGAGTGACAGAAGTCCAGTTCTGGGCATCTAGAAGGGGCCACAGCAGTGACAGGAAGCCTTGCTGAGGTTCCATCCTTTTTTGTGGTGTGTGTGTGCTGCAGGGATGTACAGTGCTGGACCCAAAGCTCCCAGGGAGAGACCAGACTCTGTTGTATAAAGCAGGAATTCCAGTGAATGCTGGCTGGTGTTTGATCAACTCTTCGGACCTTCTTTTTGTTAGAGATAAAACAGTACCTAATTTTACCCCAGAGAACCAGAGACATTTCATCCTTGGATGTCTGGTCTTGGCGAAGGCCCTGGCTTGGTCTTCATGGTGTTCAGCCTCTGCTGTGAGAGGACACCTCTGAGGAAAAGCCGTGTGGGAGCCGGTGGACAGGTGTAGGTGCTGGAGTGCCCTGGGCCTCAGTGATTCAGTGATGAGAACTGCACTCGTGAGATTGTGCCCATGTGGTTGGCTATTGTGGCAGCCAGTCACAGGTGGCCAGAGACAGGAGCTAGGCCACACTGAGGCTGTATGTAGAAATGCACAGGGGTTTGAAAACTTTGACCCAAAAGATATTTGCATTGATGGGTATAAAGTTGCACAGCTGGGTCCCATTTGACTCCTGTTGACAGCAACAGGTGACACTGTCAGGGTGTTACCCACACCCTCAAGTCCGCAGTCTTATCCTTTGCTGCACCTCACCTCTGTGGTCACATGGATGCAGAACCCCCCCTTCCCCCGTCACTTCCAACCCTTTGCTTCCCCACCCTCCTGGCATGCTCCATGGCTTCGCATGTCTGTGACGGTTTGTGTGTATTGCTTCCTGTTTACCATCTGTGCCCTGTCCGGTACAGATGATGCAGGAGAACAAGAACTCCAGGCGCCTAATTGACAGTGTCCCGAGTAGCTAGAATCAGAGACTCTTAGTAAATGTTGCTGAGGGAAGATGGACGGACAGACAGACGGGTGTGTGATAGACAGACTGATGGATCTGTGGTGGAGAAATGGAATGATGGATAGACGGGTGGATTGATAGGGTACATAGATGAAAGGAGGGGCGCGGGAGAGAAATGTGTGGCTGACAGGTGGCTGGGTGGAGAACCAGAGGGGTGACTGGGTGGTTGGATAGATGTGTCAGTGACGACCTGGACTTTGCTCTCTGCCCATTTCTGCCACCATGACACTTACCTTCTTTCCTAGGTCTTGAAAGGAGACTATAAAACGCCAGCCAATCTGAAAGGATATTTTCAGGTTAGAAAGATCAGAGGGGGAATTCTGCTTTTTGTTTTCCTGACTGGACCCCAGCTCAGAGTTGGTCCATGTCTGCTTTACTTTGCCCTGTATGGATGATGGATGCATGGATGGATGGATGGATGGATGGATGGATGGATGGATGGATGGATGGATGGATGATGGATAGGTAGATGATGGATGATGAATGCATAGATGGATGAATGGATGGGTGGGTGGGTGGGTGGGTGGGTAGGTGGGTGGATGAATAATGGATGGGTAACACCCATCATAAACTTGGGTAGGGCTGGGTGGGGGCGGGGGTGTTTCTTAGTGACTCATCTAGCCGAAGCCAATCTCAGGAGTACTTTCCCTGAGCTGTCCTACCCCTTGTCTGTGAGAACTTCATGTCTCTAAGTTAAACCCCACCCTACTAAGGTGACAATTGTCAAGCACATCCTCAGACACACTTTTTTTCTGTATCAGGAAATGAGAGCTACGGGTCATGGGGCATGTGACCAAGTTTTTCTTCTGTATCAGGAAATGAGAGCTACAGGGTCATGGGGCATGTGACCAAGTGGCCATGAGCCACGTTTCCCCATGCCTCCCATAGCTGGACCCACCATCCTTGAACTAGCTATCCCTGAGGGGCGGTGCACACAATGTCGGGACAGGTACAGCTTGCACCTTCATCAGCATGGACCTGTGCTCCTCTGGGAGCTCAATTACTGTCTTTCAAATGATGAGATGGTCCTGAGATGGGTGACCTTGTGTACATGTTTATTTTTGTAAGTGTGGTGGTACGTGCTTACACATGTTTACACGTTCATTGGGAAACCAGATGTGAATACCAGGCATCTTCCTCAATCTCTGTCCATACACACACACACACACACACACCCTTGCTGCCTTATGATTTTGAAACAGTCTCTCAGTGAGTCTCAGTCACTGTTTGCTGTACCACCTGTGTGGGCCACCTTATGGCAGTCATTGTTTTAAAGGTCAAACTATTAGTGTCTGAGTTCAGGGGCAGCGGCTTTTTGCTGTTGCCTTCTTGGCCCGCTATGTACATTTTTATGCTGACTGTGCTTCCACGGTATGCCCATTGTCTGTGGGATTTCTCTGTCTGTTGGGTGGGATTGTGACCCTTTTGGATGACTAAATTATGTATACTGATATACCTGCCCAAACTGGCGCAACTGCTCCCTTCCAAGGGTTCTAGTTTTCCCAGTATCTTACAAGATGTCCTACATGAGGAGAAGAAACGTGTTCTCTTAGGACTGGACCAGCACTGGGGGTGGAGGCCTGAGAGGGTGGAGCAGATGGACACAACACAAGATGATGCCTCTGTCACCTGGGAGAACCTGGGGACACAGCTGCAGTCACCATGTCCTGAGCACACTTTGTGTGTGTGTGTGTGTGTGTTTGTGTGTGTGAGTGAGTGTGTGTGTGTGTGTGTGTGTGAGACAGGTTTCCTGGTGGCTCCATGACTCACCAATGGGACTAGGACTGGACCACCTAAAAGGAAAAAGGAACCCCCCCCAGCATCCCCACTTGACCCCTTCATCTGCCTGTCTCCCTCCAGGTGAACCAGAACAGCACCTCACCACACCTGGGAAGTTCGTGATTTCCGGGTGAGCATTCCTGCTGCCTCTCCGAGGCTGCCAGCCCTGGCTGAAGTGCCCATCCTTTCAACCTTCTCTCAGATGTGTCCACTAAGGTGGGCAGATCCAGCCCCATCTCGTTTCCATGGTGACTGACTAGGGAGCTATTTATAGAATGGAGGCTTAGTCTGTGGAGGAGCAGGAAGGACCATGGAGTCTGGGATCCTAAGCCCCATGGATACCTAGTGGAGTCAGTCAAACTGCCTCGGTAACAGACCCAGCCTTGGCTCAAAGCAATGAATGTCCTCAGCAGCCATCGTGGGATTCTTCTAAAGAAGAGTACCTGAGGCGTTGGGGCTTTGTGTATAGGATACTAGGGACACAGCTCCACCACTGTGTAGAGAACCCCATGGCCTTCCATGTCACACAGTCACTGGCTGACTTCCTCCGGTGCCATTTTCAGGCTTGGCTCTTTTGGAGGGATTTTATTTTGCTAAGAGGTAGGGATAGGGATTTTGAGCTGGGGGCATCCAGTCTCTGTGACTGTCAGAGTTCCCTCGGCAGGTGTTCTGAAGGATTTATTCCAAAGAAAAGAATCCAGTCTGGAAGAGGAAACTGCTCCCCGGCTGACTGCAAATCTGTTAGAACCCTAGGCCAGCCCATTTCCAAAGCCAGCTCAATCCTGATGGACCATCTAAATGAGATGCCACATGCAGGGCCCACCAGCCACCCTGGTATGGATTGGCTGAAACTCATTGCATTTAACACATAGTTTTGGGGGTTGTGGGGCCGTGGAAACCAGAGCTTTATGCATTGAACCTTAGGCCTGGCAGTGCAGACACACCCTCTACCACAGGCCTCTTACTTTTTGAGACGGGTTCTCATTAAGCTGCCCAGGGTGGGCTTGGACTCACTCTGTAGCCTCGACGGACCTTCAACCTGTGACCTTCCTGCCTCAGCCTCTGAATTGTTGGGAAGACAGGCCTGGCCTCATTTAGTCTTTGTAAATTAGGGAGGATTTTTGAGACCAGATTAAAATGTAGGTGAGAACTCAAGAGCCGGTTTCAAATTTAGATTCTCCCCAGCCATCTGGAATGTATGAATGTACATCTGTATCTATAACACCTGTGCACTCCTAGGAATGGATAAAGACCCGTATCCTCCTCTGTTGGTACCTGCACCCACATGTGCATAGACACACTAACAGTAAAATAAGTTGTATGTGGTGGCTCACACCTTTAATCCCATCACTGGGGAGGCAGGGGTGGCTGGGTCTCGTGAGCTCTGTGCCATCCTCGCCTGTATATGGAATTCCACTACAGCCAGTGTTGTGCAGTGAGACTCTGTCTCAAAAATGGGGGTGGGGGTAGAAAATTAAATAAACAGAGGTGCTCTATTTCAGCATCGCCCCAGGCTGACACCACCTCCCCTTTTCAGTCTCTGCAGGGCTCAGATGTCTGAGTCGACATCATGTGTACACGGAAGTCGGACTAACCCAAGCACATTGATTGCTTCCTCAGTCGTGCCATTGGTCCACAGAGGTGGAGTCTTCGTCTCCATGGAAACGGACTTGGAACCTCTGCCTTTGGATGCTTCAGGGTGGACATGGAGGAGGAAACTACTTCAGCTTCAGAAACTTAGGAATTTTCTATTTTTTTCTCCTTGAGAACTTTTTTTTAAAGAATTGAATTTGCTATCTTCCCTGATGGACAAGCCCCTTTGGTGGCCTCATTTCCTGGGACAAGACCAGTGACCAGTTTGTCTCCTTGACCCAGGCTCTGAACTCAAAGGATTTATTTAAGAGTTTAATATATGGGCTTTCCTTCATCCTGTAGTCCTACTCAGTTTCACAGAGAAAAGAAATCAATTATTTGAATAAAGTAAACAGGCTGCTGTCTGTGCCTTACTTCACACGTAGTGAACATGATTCTTTCTGTTCTTCATGAGTGAGTGACAGGTAACACTGGAAAACATACCTGTGTTGCCAAGGGCACTGCTGAGTTCCCATGATCCCGCAGGAAGAGTAAAGGAAAAGGCAGGGTCCAGAAAGATCAATGTGGGGACGTCTCTTCTGGTAAAGTTTGCGGGCACTTGAGTAATTCTCGCCACAAGGGTGTATGGCAGCACAAATAAGGCTTTCAGCTCAGCTCTTGTACCCAGGGTTTTGTGGGAGACGAGGCAAGGAAACACTGACCTTGTCCAGCAGCCCCTCTGGGCGGTGTTCCCCAAGGCTCCCTCCATGCCCACATGGTATTGCAGACCACTTCTCTCAGGAGTCCTTGCTGGAGGTGCCAAGGGCCCACCTTTTAGCTCTGGCCTGCTGGGTTTACTGTATGATGAGGTGCCTAGATGCTCTGCAGCCAGCTGGGCCAAGAACAATTTAGTGAGGGCTGAGAAGTTTGTCCACACCTGATGGGGTGTCCTTCTATATGCTGTAAATATCTTATAACTCCCTTTTACACACACCTTGCCTGACTTCTTGGGATAAGCTGTGAGGCTTAGGGAGGACATGGCATGCGGTGTCCTGGGGATGTGGATTTTGGAAGCAGGCTGACTTTTGTGTTGTTATGATACCTAGCATGAGCTAGGGAGGATTCATGTTGGCCCATAGTTTCCATCACAGCAAGACGCATGTGACAGACATTCAGGTCACAATGAGCAGTGAATGCAGAGAGGGGCTTACCAGGGCTTAGCTGGCTTTCCCTTTCTCTTCCTCTTGTGTCTGAGTCCCAGCCTATGGGACAGTGCTGCCCCCTTGCAGGGCCAGTCTTTTCATTTTAGCTCACCGTCCCTGGAAACACCCTCTTGGACATACCCAGAGCCTGCTTAGCCAGTCTCCCAGGTGCCTCTGCTGATGACGAAGTTACTTTCTGACTCAGTGGCAGGTGGTGCCGCTCCATCCGTATGAAGGAGCTCCCTAAAACTTCATGTGATTACTAAGAACAACCAAGGGTGACATGGGCCATGCCCCTGTGTGACAGCATCTGTCCCACTTTTCTTCAAACTAGTGAGAGGGTAACCAGGCCTCTGAGACCTTCCTTTTATTTCTTCATAGATGTGTTGGTGCACACCTGCCATAGGACTTGTGCAGAGGTCAGAGGACATCTTGTGGGAGTCTGTTCTCTTCTGCCATGTGTAGTCTTAGGGACTGAACTCAGGTAGTCAAGACATGGCAGCAAGCACCTTTGACTGTCACTCCTGAGATTTCTTTTTCGGCTCATTCAGTTGTCATTGTAAGCATTACGACAGCTCAGATGGAAAGGGATTCTCACACTTGGGAGCCAAAGAATATTGACTGTGACCACTGGGATGGAAAGATATTCTAGCAATCGGGAGCCGAGGAATACCACAGGTCACAGCAAGTGTATTAGCTTACAACCCTGCTCTAGGGACAGGCTTTCCCAGTGTAACGTCTCTGTTCCAGCAGGGGAGGGCAGAGGGCTTCCCCAGTGAAGTCACTACGGGTCAGCCCTGGTTCATACGTCTTTAGGTTTCTGTTGCTATGAAGAAACACCATGACCACGACAACTCTTATAAAGGAAAACGTTTTTTGTTCTTTGTTTTTTGTAGGAAGGATCACAAGTTCAATGCCAGCCTTGGCTATATGATGATGAGTCCCTGTCTCAAATAAGCAAACAAGCCTGGAATGTTGGTTCATGACTTCAATCCCGGCACTTGGGGCAGAGACATGGGTGATCTTTAAATTTGAGACCAGCTTGGACAACATAGTGGACTCCAATCTCAAAGAAAAAAAAAATCTCACCGGGTGTTGGTGGTGCTCACCATTAATCCCAGCACTCGGGAGGTAGAGGCAGGCGGATTACTGTTGAGTTTGAGGCCAGCCTGGTCTACTTAGTGAGCTCCAGGACAGCCTCCAAAACTACAGAGAAACCCTGTCTCAAAAAGCCAATAAATAAAAAAATAATATAAGCAAACAAACCCTCTTCTTGAGTTCGGTGATGGAGTACCTGCCTAGCTTGCATTAGGACCTGTCCCCAGGACACATGCGCACAAACTCTTCCTGGGGCTGCAAAGATGACTAGGGAGATGCAATAGTTAATTTTAATGTCAACTTGCCACAAATTAGTCACTTGAGTAGTGAGCCTCCCCTGCAGAACTATCCCAGTTACCTTGATAGACATGGGAAGACCCAGCCTGACTGTGGGTTGTCCTTTCTGGTAGCATTTCAGACTTCAAAAGGAAAATTATCTGCCTTTCGCTCTCGTGGCCTCTCTCTCAACACTATGTTGATTTACCCTGTTGCCACTGCTGATTTCCTTCACTGACATTGTCATGCCCAGATCATGGAACCCCAAAAATCCACAAGGACAGACTCACCGAATGCAAAAACAAAGGTTTCTTTATTACCAGTTGCAACTTGGACCCTGCCCATTTGGGAACAAGCAGAGTGCTGCTTTTTGACTAAGGGTTTTTTTAAAGTGGAAAGTTCAAAAGACTGGATGTCTTGAGATTACAGAGATTTTTATGGTTACATAGGATAAAACAGTAACTATGTTTAGGCAGGATGCAACTGAGCAGAAAGCTATAGAAGAAATAAGTTTGTTAATTATCTCCTAGGCAGGGACTTTTACAACTACCAGTTGACAACTATCTCTGATCTTCAGGACAGAGAAATGTTAACACAGCTGGGGGGGTGTTATCTGTTCCCAGTTCTTTGTCTAGCCTTATCTGTCAGGCTACCTTTTGGGGAATTCAGAGAGGCTTGAAAATTTTTCTTTTTCCTATATAGGCTTTGGAGTCTAAGTTTTAGACTTTTGTTAATTTTTCCCTTTCCACATCAGAACCAGAGAGTCTGGGCTTCCATTATGGACTGACCACCAGCTCTCCAGGAGCCTTTCATAGGGTCTGAAGTACTTGACATTGCTGAGGCACCAGCCTTGGGGACTGAGTAACTACTGGATTTTCAGTCTCTGAGGTGTGATACAGCAGTTGTTGTTATTTGGTTTTTCAAGACAGGGTTTGGAGTCTGTCCTGGAACTCACAGAGATCTGCCTGACTCTGCCTCCTGAGTGCTGGGATTAAAGGTGTGTGCCACCTCTGTCCCGCTGAGGTCATCAGGCTTTGAGGCAAGGGCTTTACCCACCAAGCTTCTCCAGCAAACCTGTGTGCTTTCCATTGCTCTTTAAGCACTTTTATTTTTATGCTTATGGTTGTTTCGCCCACATGCATGCCTGTGAACCACGTGGGTGCCTGGTGCTCAGAGCCTCTGGAACTGGAGTTCGACAGTTGCATGTAAGCTAGCTATGTAGTGCTGGGAACGGAACCCAAGTCCTCTGCAAGAGAAACAAAGCCTCTTAACTGCTGGGTTATTTCTCCAGCTACTCTACAACACCATGTGTTTCCTAGGGTCCCAGCTTTACAGACCTCACCAGCAGCCCAGCTTTCTCCATACTGCAGGGCTTTTTGAGACTAAAGCAGAAGCCAGAGACTATGTGAAGAAACTTTTAAAAGGGAACCAGGTTTGCTGATCTCAGCCAATCTGGGTTTCCAATCCTGCCAAGTTCAGTACACCATGTCTATTTTTGTAGCAGACTTCAAAATAAGAATGAGACATGTGCCATGGCATAATGTCACTGTCCTAAGAAAAAGTACATGTGCTAGACTTTAAATATATCAGCTTTGAAACTGCCACCTAAGGATTGTTTCTATGGTACCAGCCTATTTAAAGTCGTAACTGAGCCAGTCTCCCTACACCCTGCAGTCTTTCGAGGGGATGCAGAAACTACATGAAGAGTGGGCAGGAGCACCAGCAGCGGGGTGACACTGGAAGTTCTTTCAAGGCTGAGAAAGAGGCGATGTCTGCAGAGGTCCTTGACTGTGACCTAGAATTTTTGGGAGTCCCTCTGTCACCTCCGAGAAGGTAGTGGTGATATTGAAGCCCATAGGCCTGCACTCCTGGGGTCCAGGCCTGGTTCTATTCTTCAACTGCTTCAAGCTGTGGGCACTTGATCTCTTCCAGGGCCCTCTCTATTTTCTCTGGAAGGGATGGGATAGACCAAGGAGTGTCAGAGGGCCTGCCACATTCCTGAGGAGGAGCCGTGTTGTTTAGAAATCCCTACACGTCTTAGTACCGAACTGGGAATCTAGACATGGGCCTGGATGTTCCCAAGTCCCAAGGCTGGGTCTTCATTATAAGTGATAGGAGATAGGGATGGATATGAGTCCCCTGAATCTAGGCCTCTGGATATTTTTTTAACCTTGCTTTCCCAAAGGTTGAACATTTGAACTGAGAATTGCTTTGTTTCTCAAAACAAGGTTTCTTTGTGTAGTCTGGCTGTCCTGGAACTCACTCTGTAGACCAGGCTGGCCTCCAACTCAGAGATCCCCCTGCCTCTGTCTCCCGAGTGCTACTGCATAACTGTAATTTTGCTACTGTTATGAATCATAATGTAAATATTTTCAGGGAGATAGAGGTTTGCCAAAGGGGTCGTGACCCAGAGATTGAGAACTGTTACTCTACACTGAGTGATGCTAATGTCTCCCCCTACTTTAGGGTTAATCCAGTTAAGCAGGTTGAGGGCCTGCTTGGTGATGCACATGACAGCTCTTCTTAAAATAATGTAAATTCCCATGCAGGTTCAGTTGGGTCTTTCTGAGTTCTGACTCAGAAAACCTTTTTCTTTTTGTTTCTCTTTTTTCTTTCATTTTTGGAGACAAGGCCTCATTATTTAGCCCTGGAACTTGCTATCTAGGACAAGTCTCACTGAGATCCAATCTCCCGTGCTTACCCAGAGTGCTGGAATTAAAGGTATGTGCGATCATGCCTGGCACACACTTCTTTTTCTTTTCTGTTTTTCTCGTTTGGATTCTGGTCAGAACCTAAGTGTGAGAAGGTTTTTGTTTTGTTTTATCAAAGATGGCTATCTTGCCTAAGGGTCAGTATTCCATAA